TTGGATAGAATCGAATCCTGTAATAATGGCATGTAATACTAGTCATAAGATGATTAGTGATCTAGTAGAAACGCATATATGTTAAGATTTTTCCTCCACCCGTCCGTGCATTTCCAACAATAAACAACTTCAAGAGTGTAGCATAGTGCTTTCTTTCTTTTCTTAGGCCTACGACGCAAGATCTATTACTATAAATAGGCCTCTAATCTTAAAACATTCACACAGAATCTCCTCCCATCATGAAGATCACATTGCTACACTTAGCTTTGGCCATCCTCTCAACACTACCCTCAGCATTTTGCCTCAATTCTTGCCCCCAATGTGGAAACTTATCAGTCCCATACCCTCTAAGCACTAACCCGAATTGCGGTAATCCTAACTACCAGCTTTACTGCAACAATGGCGCTCTTGAATTCAAATCCGTTGGTGGGATTTATTACAAGGTCCTAAGCATTAATCGAACTTCTAACAGAATTGTAATTAGCCCTCCTCCTGTCGATCCCGGGTCATGTTTGTCCTCTGACCTAATGGAAGGAGGGCTGCAGATTGACCAAACATCTCCTTTCAATATTTCTAACAGAAACACAGTGTTGCTGTTCAACTGTTCAAAGACTTTGTTGCTCTCTCCTTTGAATTGCTCGTCTAACAGTGTTTGTAGGAAGTTTGAAGCGATAGACGGGGGGATCAAATGTCGTAACAAGCGTTGCTGTAGCTTTTTGAAAGACTCTCCATCAAATTCGCGCAGGATTAGGGTTAGAGTTGGAGCATGTACTGCATACACAAGCGTTGTTGATATCAACGAGACTGAAGATCCAAGCTCATGGACGTTTGGTATTGAGCTGCAATGGATGACACCGGCCTAGTCTATTCCTCAGGGTTGCTAGAATAATTTGCTTTGTTTTGTTAAAATTTCATGGCTTTGTTTGGTGTGTTATCTAGGTTAAGGTTTCCTCTTTTGATGTTTGTGTTTTCCCTTCTTTTTTTTTCTTTTTTGCCTTGTGAGTTGAATAATATCAATGCTTAATTATGTATTGATGATGCACTTAATCGGTTTTGTAATATATAAAATGCTACCTTCTTAGCATATAAAAATGGACTAGAGCTAAGACATCTAAAAGGAGGATTACTTTAATTTTACCTCATATCATAATCATTAAAAATATTAAACCGTTAAACTCTTCATGAAACTTGCCAACCCCAGTTATGAAAAACCTCCGGATCCTTTTTTTTAAGTTAACAATTGCTTTCCTGAAAATTTTGTAGCGGTGTATGTTGTGCGCGGCGGAAGCCAACATCAAACCGATGTGCTTCGAGAGACCAAATCAAACAAACGCCAAGAGAAGGCCAAACAATGCAAAATAACGGCACAAACTCAAACAAACGAATTTTAACGTGGTTCGGCAAGTTGCCTACGTCCATGGGGCAAGAAGGGGATGAGGTTTTCACTAATAGAGAAGAAGAGTACAAACTGAGATTACAAAATCACATAAACTCACCAATTAATCTCAGCAGCAAAACTCTAATTCTCTCCAAACAAAACCCTAACCAATAGCTCAGAAAATACCTCTTTTATGTGCTCCAAATATCCCCTTCGTTGCTCCCCAAACCTAAAACGTGTTCCTATATATATAGAAATCCTAAAACCAAAAGCATACTAGGAATTCTAAAACCAAAATCAAAACAGATTAGGAATCCTAATAACTTGTTACCAAAACAGATTAGGAATCCTGTTATCAAAACAGATTAGAAAACCCAATAACCTGTTATCAAAACATATTAGGAATCCCAATAACCTGTTACCAAAATAAATTAGGAAACATATTAGGAACTTGCTATTCAGCAGTGTACGTACCTGAGAAACTAAATTACCATATAGGAGTAGAAGTTAGAGGATCAATTAAGGAATAACCTTTTTCACTAAGTGATCCTTGATTGATTTTATTGGCTATGGAACATATAAAGGTCAGCGGATTATCTTTATGTATTATGTTTTTCATGCCTTTGTTTCATTACGTACAATATTTACCTTTCTACTAAAACTCCTCTCAACCTGTGTTGCCATGGTATTTCGATCATAAAGTCGTACCTGTATGCGATACGTAGTGGACACTGACATGTATCAGACATTCCTTGGACACTTTTATCATGAATCATACTCGTACCGAAAACAGACACTCCTTGGACACTTATTGAATATATGCATATGTTTATTCAATTGTGTACCCAGTTACGCAATACGTGTTCTAAATAAAAACACTCATCAGACACTTCTTGAATGTCAATCCTACACTTCATGTTCACTTCCTGAAACTCACTGAACGGGTTCATTACAATATGCAGAGTAATAAAGGCCGTTTGGGTACACTTCACATTCAAAACTATGATTTTAAAGGTCGTTATCTTGCTTAAAAAAACAAGTGGTTTCCAATTTATAATCCACTCAATAAAAGAAACATGAAAATGTCATGGGAATCTTATTTTCATAACATGTGAATGAAAAAAGATTCTTGATCTTATGTAAAGTACTAAATTCAACATATGTATATAGTGGTGTCCCCGTTTCCTACCTTTTGCAAATTCGTCGTGTCTCGTACTCGTACCCGCACCACCACCAGTACTCGTATCCATGCAACATAGCTCTCAAGTTGCCTATATAACTCATTTTGTGACGTTTTTATCCTTCTAGTAGTAACAAGCTATCCTTTAAGAAATACTTGGTTCAATCCTATCACAGTTTTCATATGACTAAATTATGAATATAAAAAATCAGCCTCTTCATTTTCTTAATATGCTTTTTATCAACAATCATTTACACTAATATATGTGTTTCTGTATGTGCGCGCACGCCGTGTGCTTGTGTGCTATGATAACAAGTGAAACGGATCCACATTTAAAATAAAAGGATCGATGTTCTGTAAAACCCACTTCTGAATGGTCCAAGTCATGGGTGCGCAAATGGAGAGAATATTGGTGTGTCTATAATCATATTTGATTATGTGAATCAAATAAAAATTTCATTTTCAGATATGGATTTTTTATGGTCATGAATATATTATCATATTGGCTATAATCGAAAATGAACAAAATATGGATATATTGATACAAACAAATCTGTATTTGACAGACAGCAAATCTTTATCACATCCAAAAACTTCAAATTCAGATCTGAGTATAATCAGATAAAATCATACCCAATTGCACACGTAGTCAAAGTTAATGAATATATAAAAACTCTTACTTGCAGTTTCACAATCAGGACATGGGTCCTTAAGAAGTTGCTTCAGCTCTGTATTATATATATGATACTTTTCAACAAACCAACATGCAAAAAATTTGAAAGATCAAACACAACATTTATTCGTTACAAGTAATATAGTAGAGGAATCAGTAAAAAATAATAAACAACCCAAATGTGAGCCTACAAAGAAGCGAACTTACCTCATACCATATCATCACTCATTTTCCATGATTCAAAAGCCCCCACTGACAACTTCATATGCAGGGTTCCCTGCACACAAATACTCTAGTCACATTACGCAACACGAAACATTATGAATGGAATAGCATGCTGTCATAAAACAAAATTACACATCGCAAATCTTGGTTAAAATCAACTTAAAAGATTTGAATTTGCCTTAACCCTTTTCTGCCCGCTAACAAGTTTGCAACTTTCGCAGCCGCATTTCGACAAACACCTCCTGAGCAAGTTAGTTTCTTGCCAAAAACTCTAGCCATTTTTACCAGTTCAAATTGGCAAGTCATATTATATGCAAATGAGAAGATTTGAACAGAGAGCTCACACTAATTCTATAATGCAACTAATAATTTCTATAAATTTCGTCTGTGTTTTTCCCCAAAAATAAATTTTTAATAAGAAAAAAAATCGGAAAAAAAGAGTGGGCCCGATATTTAAAGGCCCAATTCGTAAACGTAATAATCCCCCACATCCAGGTTTTCATCGTAAATAAACCACTTATTGAAGGTCAAATTTCAGCGGCCATCGAAGCCCACTCTTCGCCGATCGACCGTTGTGCCTTTCACCCCCAACTCCTTTTCAAAGTCCACCACTAAGTGATCGGACCCAACATTTCACCCACATATTTCCCCGGGCCCACCGTTTACATTCGTCTCCCCCATTTTAGGGTTTCTTTCTTGGTGAAATTTCACAAACCCCCCGATTTTTTGGCGTGATTTGCACAAAAAGAACACGAGCTTTATAAAAATTTAAGAATACCCTAGATTTTAAAGAGCATTCACAAAATTCTCTCTAAACTCTCAAAAGCTTTAACTATAGAAAATACCATTTCTAAAGAGAAATAACTCTTACCGTAAAATCATAAATATAACTTTTTCCCTTTTTATCTCTCGTTTTCCTCTAATTTCTTTCTAGATAAACTCTAAACAAAGTTCATCCTAAAGTTCTGATGATACATTTTGAATGTTCTAATTTATAGTAATTTCTTTAATTGTTTGAAGTTTATAAAATGTTGGATACAATCATCTTTGAGCTTCGAGAAATACTCATCAATTTTAAAATAATACCTCACTCGCCCGCGTCGAGGATAACCTAACGTTTTGGAAGTTCCAATATGGTTCTCATGGTATTATGTTCAATTCTAAATTGAATTTTCTAAAAAAAAAACCTCACTTGTTGAAATCATGAGTATAGCTTTATTCGTAATTATTTTTCCTCATTTTACTCCATTCTCGACAACCAAATTCTAGAACGGAATTTGTTTAATCCATCGTTTTTTTCCTTTACCATATAACATATTATGAATGTATTTGTATTTTACATTACCAATTTTATGACACCATTCTACCTAAGTTTTAGTGGCGGGGACACTGTGTGAACTTTGCTGAAAATCAAAGAGTTTTAAGGGGGTTTCTCTAATTTTCAATTTTATGACCGTTTAGTGCAAATCACCCCAAAAGTTCGGGGGCGTTTTGTAAAGTTCCCTCCTCTTTCTACACTCTCCCACTCTTCAACCTATAAAAAAAAACCCTAAACGCGATCCTCAAGAAGTCTCGACTTTTAAACCTCTCTACGGTATCATCGATCAAATCTCTAGGGTTTCTACTCCTCATTCGATCCATTACCGATGTCTCTGCGTCCGAGCGAGAGGACGGAGGTCCGTCGCAACAAGTACAAGGTCGCCGTCGACGCCGAGGAGGGTCGCCGGCGGCGAGAGGACAACATGGTGGAGATACGAAAGAGTAAGCGAGAAGAGAACCTGCAGAAGAAGCGGAGGGAGGGAATGGCGGCGGCGGCGTTTCCTCAATCGATCCCATCGTCGGGGGTCGAGAAAAAGGTAAGCTTGGTCTGTTCATCGCTAGATCTGACGGTTTGGGGAGTCGGAGTACTAGATCGGGGGGGTTTGATTTGGGGATTTATGGTTTTGGGTTTGTTTCTAGGGTTAGGGTTTGTGGTTAATGTGTTTTGCGTTTATTTTTCAGTTGGAAAGCTTGCCGGCGATGGTGGCCGGGGTTTATTCCGATGATCGGACCTTGCAGCTCGAAGCTACGACTCAGTTCAGGAAATTGCTGTCGATAGGTATTGAAAGGTTAAGTTTTTTATTTGTTTGAGTTTTTTTCCCTTGGTATCGCACCTTTTGCTTCTGGAATCGATTTAACCATTAGTGTTATTTGAACATAATTGACTTTAATTGCATTAATTAACTGTAATGGAATTAAATTGTCTACTGTCTGCTCATGATGATGAATCGTGATTATTGTGTTGATTGGTTTAACCATTACTTAAGAAAATTTAGTACAATATCATTTTTCCTATGTATTGGACTTGTGGTGGCTATTTAATTCTGATGAAAAAGCTGAGTATAACTCTCAAGAGGAATTAGTTAACTGTACTGAACGTCTGCTTTCTGCCCATCATGATGGGTTCGTGAGTGTTTTGTTGATTGGGTTAATCGTGACTTGAGAAATTTTAGTAGAACATTATTTTTTTCAAATATTGGATTTGTGCTAGCTATTTAGTTTAATTCTGAGGAAAAGAAAAGCGAGCTCTCATGAGGAATTTATGTCCTACTTGTAGATAATGCTTTTGCCAATATTTTGCTTTTGATTCAGCTATTATCAACTGGGGGATATTTGATCTAACTTCTGGTTTAGCATATAGATTTAAGAAAAAAATATCGCTGATGACCCCCCTCATCCATATTTTTTATAGTACTGATCACCCCTTAACTATTTCTGTAGCACCCGCCACTCCTGAATTTGCATTTTGATAAGAATAAATTTCAGACTCTATTCCCTATGAATTCAAGATTGTTACTGCTAATAATAAATTGAGGAATGAGGGTTGATAAGTGCTACTGATTAATGATAAGTGTAAGGTAATTGCAAATTACCCTAGATTTTAAAAGATAGTTGATGATGATTCTATTTGCTTGTTCTCGGAATTTGTTTTGCCAGAGAGGAGTCCTCCAATAGAAGAGGTTATCCAAGCTGGTGTTGTTCCTCGATTTGTGGAATTTCTTACAAGGGAGGATTATCCTCAACTTCAGGTTTGATTAATTTTTTGTTTATGAATCCAGTCCTCTTTAATTGTTCTTTTCTTAATTAAATTTTGGTATTCTTTCAGTTTGAGGCTGCGTGGGCACTTACCAACATAGCCTCTGGTACATCAGAGAATACCAAGGTTGTGATTGATCATGGAGCTGTTCCGATATTTGTGAAGCTGCTTGGTTCTCAGAGTGATGATGTCCGAGAGCAGGTATGTAGTCTATCTGTGTTATGTTATTGAATTGCCAGTATCTGATTAGTACTCATGCATAAATTTATGCAGATAACATTCCCCTCTGTATTTGAACTTTATGCTTTAGTATTTTTCAACTTGTTGTCAACTATCTTTATAGTTATTTAAGATAGTTCTTTTATAGTTGTCTTTTTCCTTGCAGTTTTTGGTATTTGTCTATGTTGACTGCGTCGAAATTTATTTACTTTTAGGCGCAAAATAGTCTTAGCTTAGTGAGATTGTGTGTTTTGTTTTAAATTCATGACTTATGGGCATTATTGCCAGTATCTGATTAGTGTGATGCATACAGTTATGCAGATAACATTCCTCTCTGTATTTGAACTTTATGCTTTAGTAATTTTCAACTTGTTGTCAACTATTTTTGTAGTTATTAAGATAATTCTTTTATAGTCGTTTTTTCCGTTGCAGTTTTTGGTATTTGTTTGTTGACTGCGTGGAAATTATTTACTTTTAGCTGCAAAATAGTCTTCGCTTTGTGAGATTGTGTGTGTTGGTTTGAGTTCATGACTTATGGGCATTATTGCCAGTATCTGGTTAGTATTCATGCATACATTTATGCGAATAATATTCCCCTCTGTATATGAACTTTATGCTTTAGTATTTTTCAACTTGTTGTCAACTATTTTTATAGTTATTTAAGATAGTTCTTATATAGTTGTCTTTTCCGTTGGAATTTTTTGGTATTTGTCTATGTTGACTGCAAGGAAATTTATTTACTTTTAGCTGCAAATAGTCTTAGCTTAGTGAGATTGTGTGTATTGTTTTAAATTCGTGACTTATGGGCATTATTGCCAGTATCTAATTAGTATTCATGCATACATTTATGCAGATGGCATTCCCCTCTCTGTATTTGAACTTTATGCTTTAGTACTTTTTAACTTGCATTGGGATGCTATTGGTAAATTCATCATAAGTTCTTTTATGATGACAGTTTGATACAATTGATAGTTTCGCTTCTCGAAATGTTATACAGAACGGGTTTTTTTAAAAAACATTGATTATTTTATACCTGTATTGTTAAATTGCAGGCAGTGTGGGCATTGGGTAATGTAGCTGGTGATTCACCAAGATGTCGAGACCTTGTCCTTGCCAATGGGGCATTGATCCCGCTCCTGTCTCAGTTGAATGAGCATGCCAAGCTGTCAATGTTGCGGAATGCCACTTGGACTCTATCCAACTTCTGCAGGGGGAAGCCACAACCAGCTTTTGAGCAGGTTTGATCTATTTATAAGATTGATTTGCTAACTTTAAGTTTGAACATGCAACAAAGTCTTGACATATGCGCGCTTTGGTTGTTTTATTTGCAGACACGTCCTGCTCTTCCTGCACTTGAGCGTCTTATTCATTCAAATGATGAGGAAGTCCTTACTGATGCATGTTGGGCGCTCTCTTACTTGTCTGATGGAACGAATGACAAGATTCAAGCTGTGATTGAAGCCGGTGTTTGCCCCCGGCTTGTGGAACTTCTATTGTGAGAATCAGTCACTTTGAGTTACAGTATATTTCGTTTCTTAATAATTTATTTTGTTAATCTTTATGCTGGTTGTGTTGGCATGTAGGCATCCTTCACCATCGGTGCTCATTCCTGCCCTCCGCACTGTTGGTAACATAGTTACGGGGGATGATGTCCAGACACAGGTATGAGAAAAGTCGCTAATGCATATGCTTTATTTATCTGCTTGATTGAATAGGCGAAGACATATTTAAGTTGCTAGCTATTACAGTCTTCAAGAGTTAATTTCGCTTAATATTCTCAATCAATTTTAAGTAGTATTTTTTTAATTTTAGAAACTTTGTCACTGCCATATGCTGGTGGTTCAAGAGCTGATTTTGGTTGATATTTTCAAATAATTTTAACTAGTATCTGGTAATTCTAAAAGCACTGTCATCGCTGTCATATGCTGATGGATTCCTTTGGATGAGGAACAACAGTAATTATTTTACAAAGCTATTTGGTAAAAATTAGCAGAAGTTCATTGATATAATTTCAATAGTGTAGTTGAATTTTTTTCACATTGATATCTGGCTATCTGTTTATGTTAAATTAACATAATAAAATAATTCATTTAATATGCTAGCTTCTATAGACTGTTTAGATTGCTTAACTTTATAGACTGTTTAGATTGCTTAACATTGTGTGACAAGGGTCTCAGTTTTGATGCGTGTGAATATGTTGTACAGAACCTTGTAGATGGGGTGTATAAGATTTTTATTCTTTATTTGATTCATGTCATCATGTCTCTAGAATTGAACTGCATCCATGGTATATGCTTTAATAGAAATTCACCCAGCTCTACACATTGATAAAGATTATTTAGGGTGGTACTTATGTGCAATAAGAATATGATTCAGTATCTCAAAGTTGGTATCTAGTTTCTTGCCTATTCTTTCATTCTTTTTTTAGGGGTTCAGAATTGTGGACTTTGTGTTAATTAGACAAGCAATTGAGGGAGCTCTCTAAATTTTTAAAACCATCTTGGGTATTAGGCTCTAGAGACCTAGACATTGTGCCCATAATGCATTTATATGCCCACCAAATTGTAGGTCTTGACTTTTTCCAACTGTGAGTGCCTCCGGTATGAGTTGTAATATTGTCATTTATATTCCAAATACATTTATATGTCCACCACAATACGTTTATATGTCCACCAGATTGTAGGTCCTGACTTTTTCCAACTGTGTGTGCCTCCGGTATGCATTGTGATATTGTCATTTATATTCCAAATATGTGCTACTTTGCCATACCATAAATACATGCTCCGTAAAAAAATTATTCCTTCAAAATATTCATCCTGAAATGGGTGTTCTTTCTCCTTGTTTTGTTTAAACTTTAAACTTGCTTTATCCACAGATTGTATTAATTTTTCCATGTCCAGAGGGATTCTTTAAACAATTGAATAAGTCATCATTTATATTCCATATAATTTAGCTTATTTTACTCCTTTAGCGCATAAATCCCAGTTAGGTAAACATCATGACTCGATTTGATGTCTGCTCTTTGTTCTCAGTTTATTATCAATCATCAAGCTCTTCCTTGTCTGCTGCAACTCTTGACACACAATCACAAGAAAAGCATCAAGAAGGAAGCATGTTGGACCATTTCAAACATCACAGCTGGAAATAAAGAACAGATTCAGGTGAAATTTGAAACCTCATTTAGTGCTCCTTTGGTTCAGTAGGATTGGAATTTTTTCCATGGTTTCCTGCATTCATGAAACTAAAAGCATAGTATTTTATTTGCTTATGGTTCAGGCTGTAATTGACGCGAATATTATTGCTCCTCTGGTTCATTTATTGCAAACTGCTGAATTTGACATCAAGAAAGAAGCAGCGTGGGCCATCTCAAACGCTACATCTGGTGGTACCCATGAACAAATAAAGTTAGTAAACTGGCCTGTCTTTGATGTAAATATGCTGAGACACATTGATCTAATTGTCTTGACATTTTATGTTGCTTTATCTGAACTAGGTTTCTTGTGAGCCAAGGCTGCATCAAACCATTGTGCGATCTTCTTGTTTGCCCAGACCCTAGAATAGTCACTGTTTGTCTCGAAGGACTTGAAAACATTCTGAGGGTTGGTGAAGCTGAGAAGAACCAGGGAACTACTGGGAGCGTGAACCTCTATGCCCAGTTGATTGATGAAGCCGAGGGTTTAGAGAAGATTGAGAATCTCCAGAGCCATGATAACACTGAAATCTATGAGAAGGCTGTGAAGATCCTCGAAACTTATTGGCTGGAGGAGGAAGAAGAAGCAATGCCTCAAGACGCTGCTCAAACTGGATTCCGCTTTGGTGGGAATGAGCAGCTTACAGTTCCATCTGGCGGGTTTAACTTTGGTTGAATGGTAAGATACCTTAAGATTTTCAATGAAATATTTTGTTTCCCTTTAACTGAAGCATAAAACAGTTTAATTTAGGGTAATTTACAGAAAATCTCTCTAAATGTTTGCATGATTCACAGAAAATCTCTCTAAATGTTTGCATGATTCACAGAAAATCCCCCTAAGGTTCTGACAGTGACATCGACATTTTTAGCCCTACCCTCTCCTGTGATCTGTATTAACTTTTATATGAAAGCTAATATCACAATTAAATATGCAGTGCTATAAAGTTGTAATTGCTACATTGAAAATGCTGACACCTAAAATTTGATGATTATTTAACGCATCACTTTAAAAACCCTAGGGAGATTTTCTATCAATCATGCAAAGCTCAGGGGCCAATTTACCGTTTAATTTATGGAATAACTCTTCAGGGTAGACTTAGATAAAGGAACTTGCTCTATGTCTAACTCGTTCGGGTTTGTTTCAACAGTACAACCAAAAAAGAGATGGGAGTTCAAGTACCACACTGACTAAATGCAAAATATCATCTAATGGTGCTCAACATGCAGGGTCTTTGTTGCTTGAGGTGAGGAAGGAAGCGGGGTCAGTGTCGGGTCAGTTGGGGAAGAGTCAAGAAGAGTCGTGTCATGTTGGTTTGGGTCCAGTTGGTCCAGTCTCAGGTGTGGGTCGAGGTCCGGAGTTGGGGTCAGGAGTCGGGTTTAAGGGGGGTTGGTACCAATAAAAAAATGAGGATCAATGGTGCTGACGTCTTTTGATTCAAGTTGCAGCAGTGCATGTTCTGCTTCCAAGATCATCGACAGTCGGTCATTTATGCTGAAGGAGGGGAAGCAACATGCTGTGATAAATTTGAGGTAAAATATGTTGCAGGTGATTCTAAATCATTACAGGTTTTTTTTCTCCTGTATAGCGTCGAAGTTATTTTTTTAATGTGGGGTTGGTTTATCAATGGGGTTTTGTTTTCGTAATGCTAAAGATACCATATGAGAGTGTATGGTGGTGTATTATGCAAGTTTGGATACACAGTTTTAAGCTTTCGAACAAAGGAAATGAAGTACTTATTTTAGTGTCATGTCTTATGGTATATACTCCTTTCAAAAACTTTATATGCATTTTAATCCTATTTTATCTCCAGGCCCCTTATTCATTTATTGGATTTTCTTATAATCTCTCTTTCTTTATGATGCTTCAACAAGCAAGCTGTTCCCTTTGGGGGGTTAATTTGGTGATTTAGCTTTGACGTTCATGAGCGATGACTTGTTGAAGTTTGCTGGCTGTACGTTGTTGAAGTTTGCTATGAAGAAAGTAGAGTTCATATTTGCTGCAAGGAAGAAATTTTCACTGTAGACCAATTCCCATATTTAATCCCTAAAACCTGATCTACTTTAAAATTAGCAACCGCAAACCTTCCCTGCTTCCTGACCCCGCTTGTAATTAGGCTACTAAGTAGTCGGGGTTGGTAATCCCGATTAATTAGTACCGTAATTAATTCAAAGTGGGTCGATTCTCATAAATAAATTTAAAGTGGGTCGGTTTTAGGGATACAGTCTGGGATTGGGTCTACAGTGAAAATTTCTTGCTGCAAGTGGTTTCGGCATGTCACACGCTAGAGTTTTACATACAGTTTAAAGCCCTCTCTGAGAACCAACTGCTATTATACATATATGATTGAATGACTCGGGTTGTATTTTCCGATAAACAACCTACAAAATAAGGTAGTTATGCTGGCAGCATGATTCGATTTTAATTTATATGCGAACCACTTTTAAAGTGGGTTCTTATTGCAGTTGACCACCTCCGGTTAAATTTTTAATAAAAAACTAAAAATAAGCTTGTTCAGATTTTCAATAAAAAATTAAAATAAGCTTAAAATTTTAAGTTAAAATTTCAATAAAAAATAAAAACTAAGCTCGGGAAAATTTAAGTTCATTAAGCAAGTTGTATTCTAAGAAGATCTAAAAGTTAAAATGAATTATAAATTTTATGAATTGAACATTAGTATTTTCGTTTTATCATCCCAAAGTATTATTTGTTTGCGTGAAAAAACATTTGAACCGATTCAAGGGAGTAAATAAAGCGTATCCGTTGGGCTTTAGGTTTGACTCTAGGCGGTATCTTTTCGATAAAAATCTTGAACTTTTTTGGATTCTTGTACTTTGCTTTGGATTTGTAGACTGAAGGTTACATTCTCAAACTAAAATTTAGATTCGTAGATTATTTGAATTAGGAGTTTTAAAATAAGTTATTATGTTAAATAGCGATTATTTACAAAAAAATAAACATTAATTTGGAAAATCATCCTCATTTCACTAACAAATGGCAACAACAAAATTGAATACATCTTATGATCTATTTAAACAATTTAGACGATGCCAGGTTGTAGAAGATAACTAGCGCTAACACATAAATGAAAATAACTAGTGTTTAAGTACATAATAAAAACAACTAGTGTTCGACATATGAAAACTAATTTGTATATTTAAATATGTAAATATTAAATATATTGGAAAACCTTTATATCAAACATTAGACATCGGATATTCAAATGACTTAATATTAAATATTTTTATAATTTAATACGTTAAATCTTTAAATATTACATATATTTAATTTTTAAATATTTTTATAATTTGACTTTTAGTACTTTAAATCATTGAATATATTACATATATATAATATTTATTATGTACTTAGTATATTTCTAACATTTAAATAAAAACAAAATGAATGTAATATCATATTAAATATTTAAAATATTTATATATTTAAGAATTTTAAACAATAGACGTATCTAATTTAATATTGAATATTAAATATATTAAGCAATTAAAATATCCAAGAAAAAAAATATCTTTACCAAATATCTAATTAAAATATTAGCACCTTAAAAAATATCTAATTAAAATATATTAAGCAATTAAAATATTAGCACCTTAAATTTAGGTCTAAATTCTAGTCCGAAACGAATAACATTATAAATTAAAATCCAAGAAAAAAAATCCGAGTCCCAAGCAACAATCCTCAAACAATAAATTAAACATTTTAAATGTGCTTAACAGGTTTAACAAATCCCATAAAACAAAATTAAACATTTTAAATTGCGATTAAAAGTGGAGTAAAGTAATGCATTCCTTTTGCTTTGGGGGGCCATGTTTCATGTTCTTTTGTCCCCAACTAACCCAACTTTGCTTCAATCTTTACCTCTTGGACGCGCTCGTAATAAAGTTGTTTTTTTTAATATATTTATTTAGTTACTGAAAAGTTATTCTTTGAATAAAGTTCTTGTACCTTTTTTGACATAATAAAGTTATAAAAAATAAACAAAAGTTATTTTCTCTTTTTACCGTCTAATAATACAAGGATGCGGATTGTGCATAATTCCAACATTATAATGTATTTGTTAATATCTGTTATTTCTCCAGTTATGTTATTAACTTTGTGGTAATTTTAGCATGTAATTTTGGATGTATTTGAAAACATATTATCTTCTCTATCTACTATGAAATTGAGAAGAAAAAAACAACTCAAAATCGTGATTATAATCTATTCAAAGTTAATGAGAAAGTTTAAATTGAGACATTTTTTTTTAAAAAACCAGGGGTATGAAAATTTTCAAAAAATTGACAGTCACATTAAAAGAGCATCTCCAACAGCTTCCCCAAAATTTTCTCCAAAATGAAGAAACAAAAGTCATATTCTCCAAATTATTTTTGCTCCAACTCCAACAGCTTCCCCATTTTGAAAAATCACATTTATTACAATAATAAAGCTCTCTCCAAAAATTTGGAGAATGCTGCAGATTTGGGGAAGGCTCCCTATTTTTTCTCCTCCTTCCCTATTTTGGGGAATGGGATGGGGAATCTGTTGGACAAAAAAAAACCTCTATATTCCCCAAAATTGAGTATTTCAAGAAGATGGGGAAGCTGTTGGAGATGCTCTAATGACCGTTAAATCGAGCCTTTAGTGATCATACAGAAGGTAGCAAAGTGTAAAGCTAGTAAAACTTTGGGGTAAATTAAAACCTCAACATATCATAATTATTTTTAGTAAATAACTTTTGTGATATGCTCCCATCTCATGTGGCATTTTAGCTTTTTATATCCCATGCAGTGGATTTCTTTGGCTTATTTATTTATTTATTTGCCGGGATGAGAGGGTTTTTTTGTTGGTTGTTTTTTGTTGGGTTGGGTGGGGGTGGGGGTGGGGGTACCATGGGATCCATGTCCTCCTATTGGCCGGCCTTGGTGTCCCTTTCTTTATAGTTTTGGTTTTTGTTCTTTTTTTCCACCAAACTTTCCTATAAAATTTTAGTTTGTTCTTAAGATAATATGTTTTCCAAAAAAAATAGCTTCTTACATCATCATCATTATTATTAACTCATTTAAGTTTTTAAAAAATATGAAACCAACAGGAAGGACAAGTGAGGTGTTCCCCTCCTATTGAATAATAAGCTGGCCATCATAATGACCAGCTCATTATGCAATAGGAGGGGACCAACTTACTCGTTCCACATATTCGTATTATTTTTTGGGTTTCTGTAACAAAACTCTTTGGATGAGAATATTACCCTTAAAATTGTGCGTACACGAATGACCCCTCTCCTGCCTGCAGTGCGTCGGACACGTCGCATGAATCGAGTACCCAATCATTCCCCTAGATTCTGATCACGTATGAACCGTCTGATCTTAATCCAACGGTCGCTCCTAGCAATCGTTTTCCTCACCAAATGACCAAAGCGCCCTCGAAAACGTGTCACCCGATACAATCACGGGTAAATCTGTAATTTCCGAAAAATATCTATCGGCTTATTAGGGTTTTCGCCGCCATCGCGCCATGCTAAGGGGCGATTAGTCGCCCTCGATACAGCCGATAGCATCACGACACGTGTGCTCGCCCCACCTAAAGGTCGAGGCCTTGAAGCGAGGGAACGGAGTTTGGTGTTTTGGGAGGCGTAGCCGATCGTAAAATCTGTTTTTCGGAATAATGTCGGTTCGCTCGGTACGTTGTACCCGCGGATGCGGATAAGACGATGCGGCTTGGGTACACGTTTACATATATTGCGCCCTCTCATTTCGTTTCCCCCCTCTGTAGTTTTCTATTTTTCCTCTAATTTTTTCTTCTTCCCTCCAAATTTTCTCCTTTTCCCTCCAAATTTCCCTAATCTCACACACACTCCCTCTCTCTTTATATATACTCGCTCGTTGTTTCCCGATGATGAAGCCTACAAATTTAAAAGTCTAGAGAGAGAGAGAGACAAGATTCTTCTCCGATCCCCTGCAATTCTCTGAAATCAGATCAGTCTTCTTCGGCCTCGACCGGTCAAAATCGCCATCTGGGTCTCCAACATCTCGAGCCGCCAATGGATCTCTCCCATCAAAAGGTAAGCTTTCTCGATCCAACTACAGATACTGCGATCGCCCGATCGAAGATTTTAGATGGAAGAAGCCGAGGAGGGCCTAAATCGTTTTGATCCGTGATTCCAGGACCCCGGATCCGTAGATCCGAGCGCCAGAGAGAGCTCAGATTCAGCGGAAGCGGACGAGCTGAAGAGCTGCGACGACTGCAGGACGACGAGAACCCCTCTTTGGAGAGGCGGCCCAAACGGGCCCAAGGTAATTTGATGGGCCTGTTAAATTTGGGATCTTTTGCATTGGGTAAGTTTTAGTTTTCGAGGACCTGATTGATTTCTTATACGGGTCAATTTTTTTTTTTTTTTTGCAGTCCCTCTGCAATGCGTGCGGGATTCGGTACAGGAAGAAGAGGAGAGAATCGAAGGGGGTGGAGGGGTTGGGGATGAAGATGAAGGTTCTGGGGTTGAAGAAGAAGTGGAAGCAGAGGATAATGGGGGAGGAGGAGCAGGCTGCTGTGAAGGTTCTGGGGTTGAAGAAGAAGTGGAAGCAGAGGATAATGGGGGAGGAGGAGCAGGCTGCTGTGCTGTTGATGGCTCTTTCCTCTGGTTTGCTCTACGCGTAGGTTTTGTTAAGAGGGGGATTAAGATTAGTGATGGTTAATGATGATGGGGGTAATAATAATAATTGTTGGGTGTTATTTGGGTTTTTTGGGGTGTTTTCGTCAACACGACGTGAGTTTTGGCTAATTGTGACTTTTTTTTTTTGGTTGCACAACCCATTACTAAAATGTAAGATGTTATATCCTCTCTTGATTGGATTTGATTAAGAAAACAATTTAGTAATTTAATCTTTGGTGGTGTTGATATGATGTAGATTTTGTTGCTTGTTAAGGTGCTGGTTGGACGTTTGCGAGGAGCTGGGAGAAATTTGAACTGCTGTATTTATTCGTGATTCTTTCATGATATGAAAAAATAAAGGAAAAATTGCTTCAAGGCTCCAAATTTAAAAAAGTCATGTGCACCAGTTCCATGTACTTTTGCCTATGTGTATAAACCTAAAATATATTGTAAGGTTTCGTTTCAGTCCCGCCAACTCAGCAGTTTGAGCGACAAGGCTTGCTTCGACACCGTTAAAGACGCCCCCCCCCCCCCTCCCATCGCCTTCGATCACCGTTAAGCTCCCCATTGTGTCTGTCGACTGGTAAAGATCCCCCTTGCCTTCCAAGAATTTTAAAGACCCTCCTTTGTCGTCTAAGACCGACCATGAACACTCTGCTCTCTCATCCCCCTCCCCTTCCAAGTCTTCGTCCACTCATGCGTCATCATCAGGGAATGACAGCACTGATGAAGCCATCTAGGCCCTGTTGGGCATGCAAAAGGGTTTATCAAGAAAAATGAAAATTCCAAGTTCAAAACAGGAATTAAAGAAATCCAAAAAGAAGTAAGTTGACGTTAAATTTTTCAATTTAGATAGCTTGATGTTACATATTAATATTGGTGGATTGTGAACTATATGCCCGGATCTGTGAAATGTAACATATTAATGTTAGAAATGAATGATTGGCTGTTACGTTTTGTTATAACCTGCTAACGTTTCTTATAAACTGTTAACTCTGGACATTGGTTGATGATATTGGTATCTATACTTGACTTTACACATTATGCGTTAAGTTTCATTGATCGATAACAAGTCTAGTGAATTGTTGTTAAGGTGTATAGCATAATTGTTACATTTCATTGTTGGTTGTTACTATTGGCTATTGGATGTTAAGTTTAAATAGATTGATGTTAAATGTTAAATTTTATTATAGGAAAAAGTCTGGTGATGTTGCTGAAATTAGACTTATCGCTAGTTTCGGCGCATATTATGATTTTATGAAAGTACTTGAATCGAGAATGAGGCGGTGTCACTAGGATGCATACCAAAGGTGCACATTTGAGCATTATGTAATATTTGGTCCCCCAGCAGTAGATCGACCCACGCTTGAACTTGTTTTGAGTTACTATGTAGGAGATGAAGTGACGTTTGCTCTGCTCGATGCCGAAAGTGGGAGACAAAAGATAGTTAATTTTGATTTGGACTGGGTTCATGAACACACTAGTTTCCCAATTGACGAGGAAATAATTTACAGCAATAGATATCCTCACACTAGGATTTGGATGGAGTATTTTGCTGAATAATTTACTAGAAATGAAAAAGAATCACCAAAGAATATGCAAAGATATGTGGAAGGGCTACTAGAATCTCTTGTTGAATCGAAATGAAAAAGAATCACCAAAGAATATGCAAAGATATGTGGAAGGGCTACTAGAATCTCTTGTTGAATCAAAAAAGAAGAAGGATATTGAGGAATATGCAAAGATATGTGGAAGGGCTACTAGAATCTCTTGTTGAATCAAAAAAGAAGAAGGATATTGAGGATTTTGTGTTGCTGCAGATTCTTTATCAATGTTCGATGATTTGGTGTCCAAGTAGTGTCCAAGGCATCCATATGCTCTTGTTCAAATATGTTGATTGCATTGAAAGAGTGAAGAATGTGGCCTAGGAAAATACATTTATGACCAGACGAAGAAAGGGATTAAGATTGCTAGGGAAGGTCTGAACAAACCAGGGGTTTCATATGTGCTTGGATACATGCCTCTAATCCGTGTAAGTTGTATTAACTTTTTTATTGTTATGGTTAACCTATGCATGTGAACGTTTACATGTATTCTGCCAACTAAAGTTAGAAGTAATTAAGGTTAGCTGGTTCATGTTAACTATATTGAGGTTAGTGTTAAAGTTTGTGAGGTTAGTGTTAACTATATTTTAGTTAAGTTCTGTTAACTATATTCATGTTAAAAAGATTAGTAGTGCATATTAACTGATTAATTGGAATAATTTGTTTGCAGTTATGTTACTACGAAATGACATGGATTAAAAAATATGCCCTGAGCAATAGATTCAAGTCACCACTAACTAACTGAGTGATGATTGGAGAAAAGTCTGGATCTCTCCGAAAAGACACACTTGTTGCAAAAAGCTGGAAAAGCTAGCATTGCTATAGTACAGAAACCGATAGCTAAATTTGGCCCATGGGTTTAAAAATATCGACTCAGACGGCCAAATATGAGGGAAGATGATTCATTGAGGATTAGAAGAAAAGGGATTCCACCACTCCCAGTAAAGAAACATCAAATACCACCTTCTCCGGAAAAAGTTATCAAGGAGAAGAAAGCAGATATGAGGAAAAATACTAGAGAAGAAAAGAAGGAAGAAAAAAAGAGATCATTAATAGGTTTGGTAAGATCTAAGTCAATGTATATTAAGTTTGTCGCTTTAAGTATTAAGCATATCAGGGAAAAATTTGCAAAATAGACCTATTTTGTTAAATATTCAGCAAAACAGAACGTTTTGCTAAATATTTAGCAAAATAGACCTCTTTTTAGCCAACATGTCAAAAAGAGGTCGATTTTGCTAAACAGACCATTCGAAACATACGGGACTAGTAGTCCCGTATGATTTAATCTCCCATTAAATCATACGGGACTACTAGTCCCGTATATTTCGAATGGTCTGTTTAGCAAAATCGACCTCTTTTTGGCTTGTTGGCCAAAAAGAGATCTATTTTGCTAAATATTTAGCAAAACGGTCTGTTTTGCTAAATATTTAGAAAAATAGGTCTATTTTGCAAATTTCTTCGCATATCAGACGAACTGTTAACTTTGATGAAAGGATGTTAATGTTACTTGATCGCATGTTAATAATGCGTATGTTACTTGTCGTTTTAAGTATTAAGCATATCAGACGAACTATTAACTTTGATGAAAGGATGTTAATGTTACTTGATTGCATGTTAATAATTACTGCATCTAAGTGAATTGTATCTAGTATCTGTCTGGATTTAAGTAGTATGTGTTAACTGTAGACATTTACATGTTAACCTTTATAAATAACTGTTAACTATTTTCTTTTTTAATAAATTACAGTTTATATCAAACGCTATTGATGATGCTTTTTAAAGAGAAGATGAGATTAAGGAGTTACCAATTGAGGAGCACCTCAAATTCTGGAGAAATGCTGCTAAACTAAATCAGAGAATATGTCATGCACTGAGGCACTCAAAGAAATTGTATTGTCAAACCTTTATGAACGAGATCCATAGGCTTAATGAAAAAGTTAAAGGATTCGAGGGATCTTATGACATAAGAGATCCTAAAGTTTCAAAGGAAAATATGAAGAAGTTTATTGCACAACAAAAAGAAAGGAAAGCCAACCATGGATGAAGCTGACCGACATGATGACGATAAAGATTTCTTTGATAATGAGTTCGTGCCTGATTATGAAGAGGGTAACCTTCCGAAGCATTTCAGTGGAAACGAAGATGTGAGAGACGAAGTAAATAAGAATGAAGAGGACGAGCAGTTGAATGTGAAAAGAGCTGATGTGCAGGAGGATACACAACTTCAGACTGGGGATGTGCATACGCAGCAGGGGGTAGGTGGGGTTAAGGACATCCCACTCTGCAATTTTATGAAGAGGACGAAGAAGACGGTTAGCAAAAAATATGTGAGTTATAGGAGTAGAGCTCCAAGCACAAGAGCTACCAAGAGATCACAACTGGTTAGGACGCCATTCACCGAACAAAAGAAATCGAAATATAAGGAAGGGAAGCACAAAGATGAACCACTTGTTGTCACTGACAAGGTAGATAAGATAACAGTTTACTATGATGATAGTGTTGCCAAATGGGACGTGTTAAAAAGCACGTATTTGACGGATGTTGATCGTGCTGCTTTAAAGAAGGCGAATTAGGGGTTTCCTGAGGTAGCTAGGTTTAGCTTATGAGTGTTGGATAGCATAGGGGTTTTTGTACATAACTACAGAATACCAAGCAATGTAGCAACTAAACTCACAGCCGAGGAGAACAAATTGTTCATGTCTTATTGCAAGCAGAAATGTAGCCAGTAAGTGTTGATCAATGTTAATCCTTTTACTATAATTTTGTTAATTTAGCTGTTAACCCTCTGCTATAAGTTGTGAATGTTAGAAAGGAATATGTTATTTTACATTTTTAAGATGTTAACGTTTAATATTTATCTGTTAACCCTCTTGTATAAGTTGTGAACATTACTAGCAACTTGTTATGTTTCAGGGTATAAATGTAAACTTTTATTATTTATCTTTTAACCCTCTGCTATAAGTTGTTATGCCAAGTGGAATATGTTGTGTTTCAGCTTTTAGATGTTAACTTGGATCATTTAGCTGTTAACCCTCTTCTAAACCATATTTTAATGCTTTTTAGGAAATTAGATGTCATCATAACAACGAATAGCACAATTACGAGGAAGGAACTCCTTTACTTGATCCGAGGAGGAAGCGTCGATGACAAAGTAACTTGCATCTTTAAACACGTATTATGGTGAATCATTATGATTTAAAAGAATAACTTTTATATTTTTATGGCAGGTAACCGATCGAGGCGCTATGGGATAGAATACTGTCATGGTTACAGAAGTCTGAGAACTTCGCTGTAAACAAGCAGTATGGAATTGTGTCATCATTTTTCTGTGTAAGATTGTTACTCAAAATCCTCAACTTTATATGTTACAGCTTATGAATAGTATGTTACAAATTATAGTTAACATGTTGCTTGTTACAGTTAACATGTTACATGTCATAGTTATCATAGTTAATTTATAGTTAACACGTTGCAGGTTACATTTAACATGATGCTTATTAAAGTTCACATGTTACATGTTACAGTTAAAAAAATTCATATTATAGTTAACATATAACCAGTTATAGTTATCATTTTTTATGTAATAGTTAAAATGTAAATTATTATGGTTAACATATTACATGTAATGGATAACATGTTATGTATTACCTTAAGTTGCACCGTTTGAAAATTAATACGTTAGCATGATAAATAACTACTCATGTTTATTGTCTTATTTTTGTAAAATAACATTCACTCTATGGTGACCATCATGATCTTCAGCAACTA